TCCGCGGTATACCTTATCAACCAAATGTGTATGGAAATGGATTCTGCTACCCCGAAAGGATATATCTTGATACCAAAATCGATCATATTACGATAATTGGATAAAAATCGGCATTTTCCAGTAAAATCTGGCGGGCATTTTCCAGTAAAATCTGGCGGCCATTTTGGTTTTTTGCCAATCTGACTCATTTGGGAACGGCTTTTCGACGTGGACTTTTTTTTGGTGATAATATACGTCTAGACCGACCACAAACCGTGGTCGGCATTTCTATTGCAGCAACTGCCCGGAATTGTGCGAAATTGAGTTAAAATGCCTGGACTATTAGAGGCTTTCAGATGTAAGCTTGCGGTACTATCAATTGCTATGCAGGCATGTGAACTCCGCACTAGAGACAATCCGGTCCAGCTTAAACTGGCCAATCGGTTATACTATCCGGATTTAAGCGTGCTTGATTACGAGATATTACAACCTTCACGCGGAATGTTAAAAGATATTTTTATACATTTATGAAAATACTTACAATCTGATTAACGTATGAAGCATAACTATACATAGATCTTATAAATAATGGAAATTACATATACATGACATGTAATATACCAAAATTTTACAAAATATGAGGGAAATTTTTTTCGGCCAGGGACACTACGGCCTACTCTTATAACGAATTCCAACTGTCAAGGGATCTTTTACGTGCACGCCAATGTGTACATGGGACCTCGGTTTTCCGTCCCATTCGAACAACTAGACAGCTGTCCTTGTCAGACCCTCCGTTCTGCATCACTGATAAGGGGAAACCACGCCGGAAAATCTGGAGGAACTTTCTCGCACAATGCAAGGTTCGAACACCCGACGTCCAGGCTAGCGAGCCAGCGTCTTACCCACTTTCTCATCAAAGTACTGGTAATGTTATACTTTTGATATTGATCATGTTATACTTATCTTGCAAATGCTGTAATTGTTGCTTAATGCCATGTTTATAGCAATAGTACTGTATTTTACACTGATACTGTTATACATGTATATATAGGATATATTTTAATGGATAGTATTATATTTTAAATATATAGGATATATTTTAATGGATAGTATTATATTTTAAATGTTGGTACCATACCGTCTACTGAAAATGTTGTATTTCTAAAGTATTATATTCAATGCGTTATTTTTATATAATAATGTCATATTTATATGCAAAATATGATATTCTTTATACCGTTGTTATATTTTCATGTGGATAATGTTATACATGTACATGTATTTCTAATCTTAATGCCATGTTTATAGTGATAGTACTGTAGCGATTCTTGATATTGATGTTATATATTGCGTATGGATAATGTTATATTTCTAATCTTAATGCCATTCTCTCTATTGAATTTTGAAAATGCTAAATTTCTAAATTCAACATGTTATATTTATTTTATTGTGCTTATGCCTTTTAGATAACGTCATGTTTTATAGTGCTAATCGTATTTGTATACTGTTATATATATTTCCAATGTTGATGCCATTCTCTCTATTGAAAATTGATCAAGTTATACATTCTGCGCTTATGCTTTTTGTTTTATATAGTCATATGTTTGAATGCTAAATTTTATAGTTTTGTATTTTTTTTCTATTGAAAATGGTGTATTTGTACTATTAACGCTGTATGATACTTCTATACTTATGTCAATGCTAAGCTGTTTTTTTATATTTTATAACTGTATAAAAGACAGTTATAGAATGCATATCTGAATACAATCATGTAGGTATTGATGATACAGCGTTAAAAGGTGGAAAAGAGTTCAGTAAAAGTAGATGGAAATGTCTAAGAATTAGAAAATACGACATGGGTTTTTTGTCTTTATAATAACAGAAGGCCATGAGTAGTTTATGTAACAATTTGATGTGTGTATACTTAACTGCCAAACAGACAGAGTTTTTACCAACTAACGGAATGTAAATTTTGCTCTCTATATACAAAACAATGCTGCCGCTTCTAGTATGTATCTTTAACATATAAATATTTGTGATCTAAATGATCATCTTAATAGAATTCCATTAGCTGCTAACTGTAGCAGGAATTCTTTTATATCTTTCTTTCAATTATACCTGATTTAAGTGGATATCTGGCAAGTGGCAGTTCTCTAGACCCTGTTCAATACATCCCATGATAACTATCTTTTCTGAGACAAAATGTTTTCACGTATTAACTACTGTACTGTTTAAACCAAACTGTTGCTCCAAGTCAGTGGCAGGTGTCGTGCATTGACAATACTTCTCATATTTTGAGGCGTTCACTTAGTTAACAAACTTTTGCTTTACTGTATTGGTAGGGGCTATCAGCAGCTAGACGTCCAAAAAGGTCCTAAAACGCACCAGACACATTTCCAGAAAATAATTTTCCATATGAAATGAACTGAAATGGGTTTAACGTCCTTCTTTTCTACACCGAGTGGGCTAATGAAGACGGGATTTCCATGAGATTATGTCAGTTTTGATCGAAAAATTGTCACACATTAAGCCCCACATTACACCTCTTTCATGAGAAAATAAATCAGAAATATAATTTCAAAATGATCTCATCGGCGGAAATAGCAACACGCTGCATCAGGCTTACGGGGCCGCGACTGGGATTATTTGCAGAAATTTGTCAGGGACAGATGAAAGCTTATGCTCTTCTAATTTCTAAATAGACAATTTTGATTGTGTTGTCAGGATACGGAAATCTTGATAGGCAGATTAATACGTTGGAGAAGATATTCTGAAAATTCCACGAGACTCACGAAAATTCTTACCCAACCATGTCCCCTATAGTCTGAGCTGACTTACTCGTTCCCTAGCCTTTCTATGACTATATTTTGATAAATAAGTCCTAGAAAGGGGGCGTATCTGTGGGACGGCATAATGCATAGTTTATCTGGAAATGAATTCATGTGTAAATTCTCAATAACCCGCGAACCCTTGAAAATCAGAACTGTTGAAGAAAATAATTCTTATCGTATTGTAGCCAGGCCAGCAACCATCACAATGGGTCATTAAGGAAAGAGTCTGACAATTTGGACTACGTTTTCAAACTATATGCTTTTAAATTATCATATTGGTTTTATGATACGTCTATATCACATACATGTCAGTCAGAACCAGTCGATTTGAATGATTTGTATCTTGCTAAATTTTATACTAACACTGTTACATGCTGCGTGCCATAGCAGCGGAGTTAAGAGTTTTTTCCTACGAGTTCTTTACGTGCATTACCAATACTTATACAGTCGTGTGATGATGTTACTTATGGTATGAGCATGATTTAAATTGTTGCACTATGAATTGTTGTGTTTGTTCATCATCATCATTGCGGTTATCTATTGGTGCACCGTAATAGGTGTTGTTAGGGGTTGCTGAACCATAATTACTGTTGTTGAGGGTGGTGCACCATGAACAGTTTTGTTTTGAGCTGGTTCATCATGACAGATGTTGTTAAGGGTTGGTTCGCCATGATCATTTTTGTAAGAGGTGGATGCACCCTGATCCGTTTTGTTTGTGGCTGGTTCAATCATCATTATTGTTATCTGTTAGTGCACCATGATCAGGTTTGTTAGGGGCTGGTTCACTATGATCACTGTTGTTAGGAGTCGGTGCACCCATGATCAGTTTTGTTACGTGTTGGTTCACTAAGATCTGTGTTGATAGGGGCTGATCACCATGGTCGGTGTTGTAAGAGGCTGGTTCACCATGATCAGTGTTGTTAGGGTTGGTGCACAATGATCAGTTTTGTTAGAGGCTAGTTCGCCATGATCAGTTTTCTTAGGGGCTGGTTCACCATGAACAGTTTAGTTGGGGGTTGATGGTTCACCATGATCAGTGTTGTTAGTGGCTTGTTCAGCTTTGTTAATAATGAACGGTAAACCAAACAAGCCAACAGTGAGGCTGATGTCCCCCGCCGAAATCCCAAAATAAATAGATGACACATATTAATTAATCGTACATTTATTTTTTTCAAAAGTATCGAGCAATCAAACTATACACTAAGTTTCATCACTCTCGATCAGATAGAATCAAGATTATCTTGTCCCAAAGCATCGACCAATGAAATCGATTAGCTCTGCTTAGCTTCAGCTCGAAATGTTAATCATTGAACTCAGTCAAGACATTCACCTAATAAACATCTACATCAAGTTTTATCATTCTACCTCAATTAAAAGCAGAGTTATGTTCTAAAGTCTTGACCAATCAAATTGCTTATCGGTCCTTAGCAAAAGCAGAAAATTCTCACCATCGAACTTAGTCAAGGTAATGATATAATGAATCTACATTCAGAGTTTCATTGCTCTCACTTCATTATAACCAAAGTTATCGTGCCCCAAAGCATCAACCAAATAGATTGCTTATCTCTGCTTACCGTAAGCAGACAATGTTCATCATCGAACTCCACCAATTTTGAACATTCTACCTCATTTAGAAGGAGAGTTATTGTGTTCCAAAGTCTCGACCAATCAAATTGCTTATCACTCTGCTTACCCTCAACAGAAAATGTTCATTATCGAACTTAGTCAAGGTATAAAGCTATACCCCAAGTGTCCCAAAGCATTAATCAATCAAATTGTTTATCTCTGCTTACCCTAAGCAGAAAATTCGCATCTTCGAACTCCATCAAGGCATTCACCTAATAGACACCTACGCCAAGTGTGAACATTCTAACTCATTTAGAATGATTGTGTCCCATTTTAATAGTCCCCTGCTTTCTTCAAAGGGCAGGGGACAAAAAGATTTCTAATTGCTAATTTCTCCAAGGATATCATTTTTTAAGCAAAATAAACCAAGTTTTTGAACAAATCTCAATGATTTTTTCAAGCAATTTCAGCACCACAAGAGCCATGATTATAAAGTATCTTCCAATAATTTGTTCGATAAGATTATATCTTCAAAATTATACTGTAATTCTTGATTTGACACAATAGCAAACAGATGTCGAATTTATATAACAGTATACCATTCAGTAAAAACATTTTAACAAAAGTAATTCAAAGTTTATTGGCATATACATGTATGCAAGAAAAAATAGGTTTTTAATATAAAAACTTCTTTTAATATATATATGACTCTTGATTCAAACTAAGTCACACCACATCAGTTTGTGCACAGTAATAAAACAATTAAACAATTTTGTAATCCACTGATGTGGTGTGACTTAGTTTAGTTTAGTTTGTATTGTCACATTTATTTTATAGTACTTACTACATGTTACTGCCACAGATCACCAAAGATTTTTCCATTGATGCTAATGTTAATTCTTGCCTCACATTGAAATCATATTTAGCATCACACTAAAAATCATGTAACATCATATTATTTGAAATCATATTTGGCATCACACTAAAAATCATGTGACATCATATTTGAAATCATGTGATAACCAACCTCAAAAATTCTGTATAGAACATTAATGTAATGCATATGATATAAATATCTTTATATAAATACAATACAATATACCCTACATTCATTGATTTACAGTTACCATATACATGGAAAACTTACATAAAAATTATTTACACTACATTAAGCTGCGTTAGAGCCATCATACTTCTTAATAATGTCCAATAATTTCCTTTTATTGTCTTCAAAATATTTAAATAATAAATATTGCTTATTAAAGTTAAGATAATTTGCTGTATATTCATCCTACCAAATCCTTGAAAGATATCCATCACTACTATAAGTCATTAATTAACATTTTATAGGGGGATCTTGCTTTTAGATTTGGGAACTCCAAAAACAATAGTTATTGTGATTTTGAAAATATTAATTCTCTGCCTTATGATTATGATACCGTTAAGTCAAGTTATAGATGCTATAACGTATCTTCACAATGATGATGATATAGTCTAGATTGCTCCAGCAGGTCTACAAATTTTAACTGCTTTGACTACCACAAAAAGTATCCATTGTGTATGGCTATGTATTATGACTGGTTGAGAGGAAAATCCACCTTCACCTTGAGTTTCAAGTATGTAGAATGCATTTCTCATAAGTCACTGTGTCCACATTACACTAACCACCAGACATCCGTTTACCATATATACAGCCTACACAATTTATGCTATTTTGTCCAGACCAATATTTGTTGCAGATGAAGTGGAGACAATTTGAGAGGAAGCGGGCTAGGTTAATAATGATATTAACAAAGATGTACTAGTATATAAACATAACAAATACATTGTAGTAATTATGATGGTACTTAGGAATTGGTTTCCATAGAAATTTGGTTACTGGCATTTGAATTCACAGAAGACTCTTCTGTGTTATTGAGTTCTTTATTTTCAACAGCTGAAGTGGTTTCACTTAAGTTTGTCACATCACTTTCTTTTTCTGCAACATTTGATTCAGATGTAGAGCTACCAGAACCGACTTCAACATTCACCATCACTTTTTCCACACCATCGCCTACTTTCTTCTCAGGGTCGTCCTCTGCAAGAAATTTATCCCATATTTTCAATCTTTCAGCTTTTTGTTCCTCTGTTTCTTGAATTTCATATTTATTTTTACCATCCCATGTTTCAGCTAAAATCTGTTTTTTCGCGAACCATCGGCCATTTAAAGCTGCAATGCATACATCAGCTTCTTCAGGCGTTTTATACATCACAGACATTACACCTTCAGGATGGCGCTTAAAATACAGAAAAGTAAAAGGACTCATTATTAAATTAGTCCGCAATCAAAACATGTATGTGCAAGAAATTCCAGGAAGCTTGTCAGCAGAGTGTGGGGAAGGCGGAAAAGTGCATCCACAAGATGCAACACTCCAGAAGGAACAACCGGAATGGAATGTCTCTAAAATTCTTGTCTGAACTTTCATGTTTTTTCTTTTGTTTTTTTTGAAGACATTTCTTCCATTAAAACTACTAGAAATTAAATTGATGATTAAAGGCATAAGCAATCAACTACCTACATCATTTTTGTCCTGTGCTAGTCAATAAAGTTTAAAATTTTCATAATAATTTTCTAAAACCGTTCAAGTGCATTCAATTAAAAATTACTTAGAATCATAATGGTTTGTTTTTTGATGGTTTCTTTTCCGAGCCTGAAAATATGAGTCTTTGACAGTATTTATTCAATGTGAAATTTTAACAGACACCATGAGAAAACGACCTGTTTGCTATCGCCAGACCATCACACACATAGATAGACCTCAAGTAGAGTAATTTACCATCAATTATAACTAGTTATGAAATGATATTACCAGTAACACCACTCATTGTTTTACAAGTTGAACATGTGAATTTAGAGAGTTGTGAGATTGTAGTTTAGCCACTGTTCTCATCCTATATAACCCAGTCTAAATCAACAGGTAGCCATTAACTACTCATCACTTACAAATCACAGAGAGAAACATATTTTTAACTCTAACTAGCTTTGACAGATTTAACCAAATTTGAATAAGATTTTTTTTTCGAGGGTTCACTGTACTTAAGAGGGAACAAGCTTACAGAGAAACATAGTATTTCAGATATGTTTAATCAAGTTACTATTCTTTAGTACTACAAATAATATAAATTTGATATCAAAAAGAAATAATGCCGCCACTTCCTGTTTTTATTTCAATTTGATCTGTTTGTATTAAATGTCTAATGAATTTAAAAATTATATTAGCTTAATTAATTCAGTGTCAGATGATTTGAACCCATATTTAACCTCATACTAAAACAACTATTGGCAGAAATCTTGTGTGTTACACTTTGAGGTTACCTGTTTGCCTACTCTTTTGTTAATTTTTCAAATTATAATTATTTGTAAGGCACACAACTATTTTTCACATTACAAAGTTGGTTCTTGGTAATTGTATCATTATTAACATATGAATAAACACAAAATATGCCATCATAATTGACTTTTGGCATGATGTCCAGGCCTGGAAATGATGATAAAATTTCTGGCACTAATGAACTGGTAGCTGATATTTTAAACTTTCTGTCAGGGATAAAATAAAAATATCAAAAAGAAAACTGAAAAAAAAATTACAAATCTATGCCAGACAAAATGACTTGCACCAGAAGAATTTTGTCTGACAAGCTTAAATTTGTGCCTGACATTGTCTGTGACAAGTGCCTTATTTCCATGCTTGGTTATATCCCTTTAACAAAACACATTAACTTACCTAACTTTCAATATTATGATCTTTCAAGAAAATTGATGTGATAATTTATTGTGTCAAAAAGAACAATAAAGAGAATAAATATAGCCAAAGCAATGGTGTAGAAAATTGGAGAATTATTACTCGGGCCATTACCGGTACTTGAAGTCACACTTGTTGATGTAATGATCGCACAGAACACTTAATAATTATTTAATAAGCTAAATGTAAAAGTTTTGGCTGTTTTTTTTTGATTTTCTAACAAATTTGAGAATTAAGAGCAGCCATATTCCCTCCCTTTATTATGAGATTTTAAATAGTAATTAGTAGTTGTATAATTTTCACATGGGATTCTTAGTCTAAACATGTCATATACGGAACCTGCAGATCGTCAAATGTACGCCAGGACTACAAGACATTCCAACATTTTCTTTGCTTGCTGTCATGCAGATGCTGAGATTTTAATTGACAGAAATTGATTCCTGGCATGATGCTACATTACACTCCAGTATATGACTTGATTAAGTGTCTTTTTTTACGCTACACATTTATCATGACCAAACAAATTAGAAAATAATTATGTTAATGTAATTAGTGTTCATAACTACAGCCAAATAAATTATTAGTTCAAATGAGAACATTCTATATATGTTTAGCAAGAAATGTCTTAATTTTTCTTTTTTAATATAAAATTTTATATTTCAGTTTATTTACAAAAAAGAAATATAGCTTGCTGTGGACAAAAATACTTACATCAAATAATGTGACTTTTCTGACATCACCATATTTTATACACTCCGTTCTAACATCTTCTCTTAATTCATTTATTAAACTAGGGTCTTGCTGAAATGAGAATAAAACACAAGATTTTAATTAAATGGGCAAAAAGTCAGAACAAAAGGGAAGTATATAGTGAAAGCTCAAGGACAATCGAAAGTTCTCTATAACCCAAAAAACATATTGGTCCAAATCAGTCAATCCTAGCCCAAGTTATAGCTGTTTAAAGTTTACACTGATTTCTATTGATTCCAAGCCACAGTATTTGTGTGACCATAAAAGATTATGATTTGTATCCACTAGCACTGGAGTCCAGATCCATTCTTACCATTTATGAATAGATATTACACAGTGTTATCTAAATAACACTTTTCAGCTATATTTATTATTTGTTTACCTAATTAGTAATATAGAGAAAAGCTTTATTGACCTGTTGAAACTAAGGTTTTGATGTAATGAAACTATACATCAAGTTTCATCCCACTCAGAATCACAATTATCATGTTCCAAAGCTTAGCCTAAGCAGAAGATGCTCATCATTGAACTAAGTGATATTCTACCCCAATCAGAATTAGATTTATTGTATTCCAAAAAATGTAAAGTCGGATAGACAGACCCTTTTTAAATACTCCCATGCTTTATCTGACAGATGTAGGCGGGGGGACAATAATGATTTTACAATGACAAATGACCATACAAATTACATGACAAAATAAAGTAAACTGACATATTCAACTTCTGATCTTAAAATGTACACAAATCTTTGCATTTTGATGCTAAATAATTAACTATTATGTGTACAAAATTTACGAAATTCAATCATGAATAATCATTGTTTTGAAAAGTAAAATGAATACATCAGTAATATTATAATATTGTTTGTTACAGTAAGTTATGGTGACATTATATAGTTTGTTTCTATGTTTTTTTGTCTACTACTATATGTTTATTATACTAGTACCATAGAACATCCTTAAACTAATACCAAACATAAATCATGTTCAAAGCATGGGTCAAAATGTCATTAACCACATGGTTTAAATAGTTATACTTCATATTAGCTAGAATTTAAAAATAACCCAACATTATTTCTTTTCCTACCAGTACCATCCAATGTAAATAAAATACTATAAATATTCATGAAAGAAAGAGAATACAATAATAAAAAATGTGATTGCATTATGATCATTCCAGGATTAAAATGTGATATTGAGCATTGTAACAATTTGAGGACTAAAATGTGATATTAGCAGTATGACCATTCCAGCATTAAAATGTGATATTAAGCAATTCCAGCATTAAAATGTGATATTAAGCATTATGACCATTCCATAATAAAAATGCATATAATTATATCAATAAAGCACACAGTGGACTCTTAATAGAACAGTATTGATAATGTTTGTGGTGTTCATAAATTATCTAAGAGAAGCAATCGTTATTTTAAACACATTTCTGTAGGTCTAATATTGAACCACAATCGCAAAAAGTGTCTTATTAATGGTCCAATTCAGTTGAGAGAGAGTCCCTATTTTTAACAGGTGTTCATAAGAGAAATGTTCAAATTAAGTGAAACATGTGTAGAATTGTAATGGTAGACATTAGGGAATAAAAAACCAATAAATGAAGGTCATGTATATTTGTAGCAGAAAGTAATTTGTAAATGGTTTTAAAATAAACAAAATAATTTAACATATGAATTTATTCAAATGTCAATTCTATACAATTAAGAAAACACAGAAGATAGATTGACTGAATACAATTTTTAAAATTTGATAAATAACGATATATGTTTGCACATCCATGTCATGTCTTGATCAGATATAATTAGCCAGAAGAGCAACTAGGATGAGATAAGTTTGGGTAATCAGGAGCACAGTTGCCTCTACTCTAGTGATCACTTGTAATAATATTGATTGTTTAGATATACAATCCTATCTATTGGTATTAACTTCAGTCTAAATTACACCTCTGTCTTTGCTGTTTGGACACCTTATGTTTGCATCCCACCCACATGCCTCAGTAATAATTAGTAATAATTACATCTATTTAAATAGCTTAATGCTCTTATTATAGATCTTATAAATATCAATAAACATAATGACTGTCAGGTGTACAAGGCAGATATGAGGGTGTGTGTGTATGTGTGTGACCTGTATATATGCTAGAGGGGTGGGTAAATAACATTTTTTCATGCCAAAAAAGGTGTTTTAAGGAAAAATTACCATTTTCCAGCAACAATGAGAGATTTTTAGAACAAAAAATAGAAGTTCAAGCACAGATTTTAAAGCGCATTATGTAGGGTTCCGTGGGACCATGCTTTTATAATCAATCAATTAAATATTATGGTGACTAGTAATCAAGTATGAACGATGTTTACCTAAACTTGTCAGTCTCTATCACTTATTAAGTTTATTTCTTGTCTTCAGGTTAATTTAACTTGATAGAAGTTTGACAACATGGCCATTTTGCGGTAGAACTTTCATGCAGGTGTTTGTTTATAAAAGGCAGGTGGAATACATATCTTCTACATACACTACCATGTTCATTACATAATGTACATTGTCGGCTGCCATGTTATTTCGGATCATGTCAAAACTGATCTTTACTAAGAGTCTTGAGGCTTACTTGAAGAACATCACCAGATGCCCACGATAAGTTTACCATACTACGCATACCTGTTTACAATTTTAACAAAGATGGAAGCTTGTAGACATTTGCAGCACAATGTTTCAAAGACAAGCATGTGCTACTAATTATCCACTATCTCCAGGAACCTGTGACTTTTCTCAGCAATTTTGGATATGTGATTCAAGTCAGAAAAGTATCAAAATGAAACCCCACAATCATCACCTTACCAGAAGTCACACATACTCTTTGTAACACAATGCAAAATCTCCATTCATGATCTTTAATTTGTTTGTTTGTTCATTTTTACATTAATTCCATCCAAACATTGGGATACATGTATGGTATTCACAGATAGATATAGCGTTAAGGCCATTCCTTTGTGAGACCCATGAACAACTGACAAAATATACAAATCTTGTGTGGATTGTTGCCCGCCTTTATTTTCTATACTGATTACAATTACACATAGCAAGCATAGAGAAATTTCATGGAAAGCGGATTCCATAAGCTAAAAACAAGTTTTTGAATTCTTTCAAAGGTAAATTATACTCTTTAACAAGAGAAAGAGAAAAATGGGGTTTAACGTCCACTCAACACAAACTAGGTCATTTCAGGACTTACACATGGTTCAATTTTATTTTAATAATTCACTTGCACATAGGGGTCTTTAGCAGTGGGAGGAAACCGGAGGTCCTGGAGAAAACTCACGAGGTTGGACAGGCACCCCTACTCCTTGTCACGAAAAACCGGATAATCGAAAGCCCGCCAGTTGACTCAATGACAGGCTTTATGATACAGCATGCACATGCGAACCATTCGGCCATCCAACCCCCCTCTTTAACAAGAAAGTCAGATATTGGTAGATATATTCCTGGAGCAATGGTTTCAAGCATTATCAGCTCATCAACCACTGCTAAACTAAGATAAAGTGCTGCTTTAATTAGTAATAACAGATGTAGGTTTTATAGGAAAACAAAGTAAAAACACTTCAAGTTGTATTGACGATTTTCATTAGTATGAAAGCAAACCTAGAAAATCACTGAAAACATATGCCCGTAAGTACTAATTAAATTTGGCATTGGTTAATGAACTAATAATTCTCATTACTATTGTTTCACAAGGAATATCTATATGGAGTGACAATATTTCTGTAAATAAAATTAGGCTGTCACATGACAATATTTCCATTAAGTAAATGATTCTAACTAATCCAGGGACACAAGATATTTATTATAATGTTTACATTCATGAAAAGTAAATCATTTTGACTAAATTATTAATATTAATAACATATTTCTTGTGAACAATACAAATTTTTTCTTGCCAGCAGACGGTAAGTGAAAATAGTGTTAGAATACAGTGAAGGTAACCTATAAGAAGACGAATGTGGAGTTATTTTAATAGAAACAAGTAGATGTATGATCACTAGCCAATAAATACCAGCAATAATTTATTTATTCACCTCAGCAAACATTAATCCAAATAAACTTTGCTAGGTCGTTCAGACAGTGATACCCTATTTGACCGTTGAGAGGCAAGGAAACCTTGTGGAAAGCAGCTGAAAAAATGTAGCCGTGTGGTCCTCTGTGTATGAAAACTATTATCCACAAGCTTTTCGCTGGTTTTAATTTGAGAACTCTTGTTGGCCCCGATACTAGAGTGGGGCTCAATTATTATGTGTCTGTTTCGAGTAAGAAATAAGTAAAAGAATACCTTGGTGACCAACTCAGGGCATATTAAAGTAAGATTGATTTCTTTCCTTTGACAAAATGTCAGAAATGTCATAACAATAAAATGGTGGAAGGCTGTAGGTAGATTAGCGTCTTTATATACAGAAAGGATATAGATAAACTAGGAGAAGTTTTTCCGGTATTTCCGTCTTGTATCAAACTAACACCATCTGCAGACATCAATTTTAGAAGGTTGATACACCACCACCAGAAAATGTCACTTTTCTCTGTTTATTTATCTTTTATTTCAATCCATGTATTTACTTTCTCAGATACCATTTGATGGAAGTTCTCAAGGAATCTTGATCTTGTCTTTTGGACAGAAAGTTTCTGATATTCCACACCAGGAAGCGTCAATTGGTGAAAATTAAAACAAGTAGTTGAAGTACAATGTTTCCTGAAAGGTCTTATAACCCATATTCAATACAAATAAAATGGTACTATATCATAAATGATAGAGACCTGGCCCCGATTTCACAAAACATTATCAGACTTAAAAGGAGATAAATCGCTAATATTTTGGACCTAGAAATGGACTGAAACACTTTGGATGATATAGAGTTAGAGACTTAGCTACTTTAAGTTAAGAATTTACCCAAAATTGATCGCCTTATTTTAACTAAAATATAGACCTTTATAAAACTTTTGTTGATTCAATGTTTCAAATTCAACAATAAGAAATTTTTGTGTTTCTGGATTAAAGAT